TAAGTACTTTCAATTGTATTCCTTGAATCGAAGTCCTGAAATTCATAATGATTAAGAATAAATTTAATATTGCAGTTTTGATCAGAAGTGAATTTATTGACAGATAATAGGCTGCAGGCAAGGTTTGGCATCAGTATGATTGGATTCAGAATTAATCTATCTGAGACGCAAACAAACATAATTCCAGGTAACTTTAATTAGAGAACCATCGGCAATTCTTATACTTAACCCCTTATTACATGATTTATAATTTTCTAAACTATTGATGATTAGAGACGCTTACAACTATTATCAACAATCTTTATTTTTTTTTTAATTCTTTGCATTTAAAGCATTTATTAGATTATCCAGTTGTGTCACAAACACTAGTACCAATCACACTATAAGCCCCGATACCTTTCCCCTAATGTATTTTTAGATCAGATTGTTGCTTATTGAGAACGAGGGAATTGTGTTTTTGTAATGAAGGATTCTTGCAACTGAAGTCTGTGAAGAGTTACTGTCAATAGAAAATAACTAGGACGTATTTTTGAACTAGAGTAAGTCTTCTTGGTCGCATATTAAATATTTTTTGTTGTGTTGTGAAGGGGGCAGTTTTGCCTATTTCATTTCACATGTAATTTGATGAGACTAGGGCATTATCGTGTCATTTTTTAGAGAGTTTGAAGTAGTCCCATAACTATTCATATTTGGCTAATTTAGACATGGGATATTACACTTCTATAATTTAATCCCTCAACTATACAAAATTGATCTCAAATGTTCCACCCGATAGAAATTGTGGGAAATTGGATACAAATTTGGTTTCAATTTTGGCTGTTGATCTTACAAATTTGTCTCAATTTCATCTCAAAGAGATCATTTTGGATCAATTTTATATAGTTAGGAACTAAATTTGAGAAATGTAATAACTATATGACTAAATTGATCACATAGGGATAGTTGGGAGACTATTTTTGATCTTTTTCCTGTCATTTTCTAATTTCTAAATTCTAGAGTATGAATCCTTTTTCGGGGTTGTCACAAAACCCGTGATTATGATCCTTTGAGAAAGTTGTGTTCATTTAGGTTTCATTTGAGACAGTTTTCTACTTGCTTTTTTTTTTTCGGACTTCAACCATAATTTATATTTTGATGTTGTTTTTTTTTTCTTTAAAAAAAAAAAGTCCTAAAAATGTACGTTCTATGATAATTTTAAAAAGCTATTTTCTCTCTAGTAGTTTTACAATGCATTAAGAAAGCCATGCCAAACTAAGCCTTAGTATCTTTTTGGGATGACTTCAGCTTTTTGTAAAGGTGATTTTGAAGCTATTATTAAAAAAATAATTTTTTTAATGCTATTGTAAAAAGCCACTTCTAGTTCAAGTTTTCTAAGAGCAGGGAAAAAGTAGCAGCAAAAAAAGCTGTGGTTATAACTTATAATCCGAAAACAGAGCAGTAAAATAGCTGTCCCAAAAAAAGCTTTAATTTGCGACCGATGATGGGCATCACTCCTTTTAGAACCTCTGATAGGGATTGGAATGAGAACTGAAAGTTACTACAGAAGCGGAGGTCCGTCTTTCAGTAGTTAGTTCGTATTTAGTCAGCAGAAGAAAATGTCATAGTGATGAAAAATTATTAGGTGAGGAGTGTGCACTGTCCGCACAAGTATTGGATACATAGCAGTATCCAACGATACCCAACGGTAACGCGTGCGGGTACCATTAGGTATTCAATGCTTGTGCGGGTACCACTAGAGGAGTGCGCACCTAATAATCTCTCCACAGTGATGCATGCTAAACTTGAGGAACAATGGGAAAGTTTGTTGATGAATACTAGAGAATTTTGAGTGATTAATGGGCAGGCACAAAGATTGTTGGAGCTTGACGATTGTCGGATATCTTCCGATCAACTTAAGAAAGCCCGATCTACAAATATACAGTTGTAGGAGATTAGAGACTCGGGAGATAGTGTCGAGTACAGGAGGATGAAAGCTTTCGTCTCCCTTTTGAAGATGGCGTTTGATGGCGTTGTTTGGGAGGCAAAGTTGGAGTGGTTAATGGCGACGAGTTGAAGGATCGTGTTGTGATGTCAGTCTTGATGATGTGATGAAGCAAAGTTCAGATGCGAAGTGAGTCTAGAGAAGGCTAACTACATGATGAGGTCATGCGAGATTGTGCATTTTGAATATGTTGAATTGAGAATAAACCATCTTACTCGGTCTCACGTAGTGTGATTTCTTGTTATATCCATACCTCTCGTCGTCTCGAGATGAGAGATTATTCTGTGCGGTGTCCGAATGAGTTTGGAGGTGAATTTGGATGTGTAACGTCATTTGGTGCATTGGGCCTCGGGTGATGTGGTGTGTCCGGATTTGCCTCCTGACTCCGCACATAATTATTTTTCTATCATCTCTAACCTACCACCGCCTCACATAAGGGCATCTCCAACCAAACACCAAACGCTTGAATGACGTCGCTCGCGAGCTCCAGCCGAACGGTAAAACTTCCGCTATTTGGTTGCGGGTGAACAGTGGGATGCCAATATTGGCGTTGCATTGTTCATCTTCGTTATTTTTTTGTCTCTACCGAAATTACCATAGAAATGCGCGAAAAAAGAGAGAGGTTGTTACCTTCACAAAAGGGGGCAAAATGAAGTTCGATTGGAGATGAATCACATTATTTTTTAGTTTCACAACATTTTGGAGTGAAAACTGAGATTTTCGATTGCAGATGCCCTTAATTGCGTACCAGTATCATACTAGAAAATACCTTGAATAGCTTATAGCCTAAGCAATGTATTCCAAAATTTTCAAAATTTTATTTTATATTTATTTTACTTCAAATCAAACATATCAAAATTGAAATTTTTTTTACTTTACGATCAAAATACATCAAGCATCCTCTTAAATATCTAATTTTAAACAAATATAATTTTAAATATATCATATAAGCTTGAAGAACATTAGTAACCAAACATTAAAATTAAACAAAATAAAGCACGATTCATTTTCCAAACAAAATAAAGTACAAGATGTAAGTTAAGAATATATATCATAAGGAAGTTTTTGCTTTTGTTTTTTTTTTTCCGTCACAATTACAAACTTTGATCACTAGAATTGACTTCCTTAGCTTGCTCTCCCTCTCTGCAAATAAAAGAAGGCTACCCCCATTCTCACAGTCTATTTTAATTTAGATATTTGCAAGTAATATCATTCTGAGTCTATTACAATTCTTATGAACTGCTTTTAAACTTTGTTAAATGTGTAATAGATGATTTATTTAGAAATTTAGATCGGTTAATGCGATTTACTGAGTTGTGTTAGCTCGTAGTTTTTTTGTATTATGTTTTGGGGTCTAGGAAGGAGCCAATTGAGTAGTGGAGTTAGGATCTGATCTGTTTGAGGTTTTATATGCCTTTCTATTCTTATTTTGTACACTTATGGCTAGTAATTTAAATTGTGTTGCTCTATATTTCAATATGTAGCCATTTATTGTTGTGTAAATGTTGTATATATATTTTGTTGCAAAATGAATTTTTTTTGTTGTTGTGAATGAGTAATTTTATTTATATTGGAAGTTATTAGCAACTCTATAGTATGTTGTTTGTTTTAAGTTTAATTGAAAGAAAAAAAAAAAATTCCGAAAACTCTATTCTTATGTTGATTTGTCGCAAGTCAACACGATAGTATCCTGTCTATGGGTCTTATCGGTTTAGGTTGGCTAACTTAGAATAAGTAATACTGTTGCAATATGTACTATTTTTCATAAATCCGATATTTTGACAAATTTAAGGATTTAGCTAAAGAAGAGAGCAAAAATGGAGAAATATCACTATCTTCAATGCGAGCTCCCTTTGCAACTTTCGATTCAATAGCAACAACATTGACATTGGAGGTGAAGAAACTTCACGCGAAACAAACAAACAACGAAGAAATATAGAAGATGATTGACACATAATGAAAATGAATTAATTAGGTAATTTAAAATAGAAATAATTAATTAGATAGTTAGCAATGTAATTATTAATTTAATAATTAACTACTAATAAAATATCTAACAAATTAATTAGAAAGGTAAAGGTAGAATTGAAAAGACTGGTTAGAAATATTAGACATGATTTTTCTTTATTAGATATAGATGAAAATTTTACTTTTAACATGACACAACGAAGAAAAATGATTCATGCAAATGAGACCAAAACTTGTTGTTGTTGTTGTTGTATTGAGTTTTAAATGTCCACTTTTGTGATCTCTAAATAAGAGAGAAAAAATATATATAATGTAATTATTCCCATCTTCATCAATTAAGAGAACTCAGAGGTTAATGTATCTTCTACTCAATAGTAAATTATTACAATCGGATTAGGCCCGCTGATTTTTTCATTTCCTATATTTTTCACTTAAAAGATTTATGATCTTTATCAATGCTTGCTGAATTTTGGTCTAGCCTAAGACAGAAATTATGCTCGACGAAAGCAAATTTTCTAATATTTATTTAAACAAAATCACATTTAATTAGATTATTTGAATCACAATTATTGTTAAATAATGTACATGTCATATTTTAATTTGTAGTTTAACAAGCTAAACTAGGTAGGTGATGATAAATCATAAATAATATCAATTTATTTGAATTTAGTTTTAATTAATAAAATGAATTTAAAATGTTAATTAATATATTTACATTTTAATGTTTATTACTAAATCTTTATTATACTAATTATATCATAATTAACATTAGATAATTATCTAATTAATTTTTATTAATAATTAATTGCGTTGATTAACTATATTTTATTTTTGTGGATAAAATTAAATAATAAATAGTATTATTTTTTAACATAATAAATTTTTAGCAATATAATTTCTTACTAAAATTTATACTACCGCCGTACCGCCCCAATACCCGCGCCGTTCTTACCAGCTGTTCCGCTCCAATTTACCCAAAAACCCTAATGAAAGTTTGCTAGGGTTTGCTTTTCCTCTTCGGCTTTGCCTGCGTCGCGTGAGAGGTAGAGTTTTCAACGAGTCGCTGAATAACTTCTTCGCCTCCTTCGTTGTTCTTTTGTTGGATCGGAAGTAACGATGACGACGGTTGCTTGCTCGTTGCGAAGGTGGCTATCTGTCTTCCTTTCGCGCGCCTCTTCGGCCAAACCCCGTAAATAGGCCGAACTCCCCGACTTCTTAAATTCGGGATTTACGGCAAAAAGAGGGAAACGGAGGTTTTAACTCGTCGTAAGATTTAACTGTTCACTAAATCCTTTTTGGCAGGGTTTAACATAAATCCTGCTCAAATCCTGTATACAAACAGCCCCTTAGAAGCGAGTCTTTGTTGTCACGTGGGTATGGAAAATTGTTATTGGAAGAAACTAGGGATACAATGCGCCAAAGTGATGCTGGGTGGCGCTCGCGTGAAGGAGAACCATTTTCTTTTATGTAAGGTCCTAAACCCTGATATTTTGAGTGATGGGTGTGTAAATCCTCCTTTTCCTTAAGCTTTGGTCGGTTTTAATGACGATTTGCGGGAATTTTGGAGCGATATCATGGGGATCTGTTCGAATCTATATTCCTGTGAAAGCAGTAATTCCTCCAACGCTCCCTTCTAGCTTTTTTACGTTGGGAAAGTTCCGTGGAAATGATTATTGTATTTTCTTTCCGAGTGGTGATGAAGTTGTTTTTCTCCTTCTGCTTCCGCTGTAATGGCCATGCATCAAGGATGGCCGTCAAAGGCAACCGGTGCAGCCAGAAATGATTTTATCTATTCTGGCTTATAATAAAATATAGGGAGATTTACATACATACCACTTTATTTCATATTATTTACATATCTAACACCTAAAACATTAATATTACCATCCCTAGAACAAATTTAGGTACATGAAATGAAATATTAAATTTTATAGGATGGTATGAATGGTAGAAATGAATTATAAGAGTGTTATATTTGATAGTGGAAGCTTGTTCTCTACTTTTTCTTTGATGTTTTAGTTACATCTATGGCTCTGGGAAAGTGGATGTCTTACTTGTACTAAGAAAGGTAAAGATGTACCTAAAAGGACATGGTTAGAAAATATTAGTATTGATCTTTCTTTATTAGATTTTGATGAGAATTTGATTCTTAATAGTATATAATGGAAAAAAGATTCATATAGCCGAACCCACCTAGTGGGATAAAGGCTTGTTGTTGTTGTTGTTGTGTTATGGCTATATCAAAGAGCAGATCCAAGGGCACAATCTTTTGTTAGCTACATCCGTTGAGCTTCTTTGTGCTCTTCATTCTGCTTCAGGGAGCTAGCTGGATCTAAAGCCTCCTTTCTTCATGAAGAAAATTAACTTTTCCCAACCTATTTGTCATTCATCTCTCCGGAGGCTTCCCCGAGAAAGAACTTCATCAGTCTGATAGAGTTGGTGATACTTAATGATGATTGTATCCAACATTCCTGTGTGCTCGTTGGCCATGGCTGAGGCTTTCCTCCTTTGCCATCTCTCTCTCTCTCTCTCTCTCTCTCTCTCTCCCCCTTTTCTCTTTCAAATTATATATATATATATATATATATATAATATGCAGATTTGAATCGTCTTCAATTACCATGCAACTAGCCCTATCCCAGCATTGCAATCTGCTTTGGGTAGCCAAGCTCTATTCTGCAAATTTTCTTATGTTGTGGATCTACAGGGCTGTAAGAAATATTTTAACCAACAATAGAACAAATTGGAGATTTATCTTTCATCAAAAAATGGGCTTTAAAGTTCCCAAAAATTTAGTTGGCGGGGTTTTAGCTAAATTCTGCCGAAAACATCCTTTTTGCTGTTGCTCGCATAACATGATAAAGGTATTGTATGTCTTTGAGTGGAGAAGACCTGGCTTAGCATTCATCAATCTTAACCCAATTAATTGGTTCAGCTTTTGGAATCATTATTTTTAATTGGTTTGCGGAGAATAGAGTTTTTGCATGCATGATGGTGGTTTTGTGACGCTCAAAAGGGGGATGATGTTGGAATGGGGATTTTATTTTACGTTCTTATTATAGAGTTTATGATGGTTATGGCAACTCATCTATCAGATTATCAGTCATGGTTCCCATTGCTGAGAATTTCTTTTGTCGCCTTTCCCAATAAGGGAACAAGCAAATAAATTGAATTGAAAATATTTTTCACCCATTTGTTTAGTTGAGGAGAAATTGTGTGAAAAGAGGTATGAACGAGCCTAGCTTCTTGGGCAACTTGATGAATATGGAGATTTGTATGTTTCCTATAGCCATGAAATGGCATCTTTGGATAGCCTAGAGCTTGTTAGGCAACTGCAACCGCCATTTCCAATGGGTATTCATGCGTATCGGTAGAAAGCTTCTTTGCATGTCTTATTTTATGCTTTCGACATTTATCTTAGTTACATTCCTGTTATTGGTTTCTTATTCTTCTTTCCTTATTGGAATGTAGTCCTTTTGAGTTTTGGGTGCTACTATTGTGAGTCTTGTTGGCATCTCTATCTTTGAAGTTGCACTAAATTTTCTTTGTAAAAGTAGTGAAAAAATGTAACAAACTGGGTATTTTTGTAAGAAGTGCGTGTTATTAAGCTGTAGCGGATATCAAATATTAATTGCAGGCGCTTTTCCACTTTAGAAAGTTAGATGCTGTAATTTATTGCTGAATATCTGTGGAATCTTGCATGATTGAGTTTCCTTATGTTCAATCCTATTCAAATGTGTTTGTTTCCACGACTTAACTACTTTAAAACTTTTAGATGCTATTATTTATTTCTCAAAATCTTTGAATCATGCATGATTACGTTTTTGTATGCTCAAATCAAGTATGGTGGTGTCAGGGATGGCTTGATATCCATCCTTGGGTGCCTGTTTTTCTTAATTGGGTCTTTAGATAAGAGAGAAAATAAAGTTTCTTCTTTTTCGACATGGTGAGTTTCATCAGTCTTCTTAATCTCTATCATTATGGAATTATTCAATAGCCATAACATATGGGGATCAAAATCAATCTCTCCCTCTCTATCATATGCAGGCAATTTAGTCCACGAATATTACATTGCTCCAATTTAGTCTATCGACCATTCAAAATGATCTCAATTTAATCACAAAGAGTAAGTTTCAAAATAGTCCATTGTCTATCCATAAATGATAATTTCGTTCCAGAGTATTATTTTTGCTATGTTTTAGTCTTTGGATTATACAAAATTGATCTAAAATGATTCTTTTGGAACTAAATTGAGATCAATTTTATTTTATATTAGAATATAAGGGATTTTCTTGGATCAATTTTGTATAGTTGTGAGACTAAATTGGAACAACGGAATCCTCTGAGATTAAATTTATGACACATGAATAGTCTGAGGATATGTGTGTGTGTGTGTGTGATATTGTAGAGGGCAGATGGGTCCAATAGGGGGCGGCGGGCAAGGCAAGGAATTCGGCCCTCCTTGTGAGTCCCATGAATTCTATCATTACATCTATGCGAAGAGGAATTAAGGAAGTGACTAATTAGGAAGAATTTCTTAATTGAAATTCAAATTTGAGAGTGAAATATATTTAAAAAATGGGGGGGGGGATGATTTAGGTAGGGATTAATTAGGAAGGATTTCCTAATTATTATTCAACTTAGATGGGGAAATATATTAGGAGGGGGGTTGGGGGTTGATTTGCTTATTTAAGGTTGAGTTTGGGTTTATTTTGTTTTATGTAGAATTTGATTTGAGAGTGCTGTAGTTTTCTTTTTGTGATGGTTCTTAGCGGCGTCTAGGGTTTGCTTTATTCGTATTTGATTTTCTATCAATAATCTGTTTTTATTTAGAATCTTTTGGAGTTTTTTGCTTTTTTTGATACCAAAGCACGTCTCTCTCTCTCTCTCTCTCTCTCTCTCTCCCCCTCTCTCTCTCTCTCTCTATATATATATATATATATATATATGTTTGTATGTATGTATATAAATTTGACTTTATATTTCTTGATTATAAAAGGTAGAGGTAAACCTATAAAGACTTAGTTAGAAAATATTAGAAATTGTCTTTCTTTATTAGAATTAAACAAGAATTTGACTTTTAATATGGCACAATGGAGAAAAAGGATTCATGTAGTTGACCCCTAGTACTGGGACAAAGGCTTGATATTATTGTTGTTGTTATTTCTTGTGAAATGCACATATTTTGAAACACGCCTCTTATATTTTTGTTTGGCCATATAAGATGGCTAATAATCATTGTCAAAGCTGTAATGCTGAAGATTTTGCTTCTGCTGTTGTCTATAGCTCAATCTTCGCCAAGTAACTCAAGTAGAAGGTCCTCATAATATGACAATTATCTAGATTAGTGACACAAATAACTTGCAGTCCGTGCTGCTGTTGGGTTCATTTATTATTATTAATATATGAGGGCAATGATGATGATTTGGAGGGTTGCCATCATGTGCAGCTGACCAATGGGGAGATCTGTATGTTTCCTATGATAATTTTGTTGCATCTCAGGATAGTCTTGAGCTTCTCAGGCAATCAATGCTGCCATTTCGAAGGGGATTCATACCAATGTTTAAAATTGTAAGTTTGTGAGGTGAGGCGTAAGCCTTAAAATCAAAAGATTGCATAAACATAAAATGATAAATTTTTTAGATACTAATGAATAAATAATATAAAACATAAAAAGCACAATATATGAAGTGAAATCAAAATATCTCAATAATAAAACAACATATAATATATTTCAACTCAAAATTCTATCTTTCTCAAATCACAGTATTGTTTTCATTAACATATAATTCCAAAAATAAATAGCAATGATATATCACATAAGAACTCAAAAGTCATCAACACTGTCGTCACTATGGGGGTCTTCATTTGGATCATCATTATATTGAATTGCTCTCTCCCCTTCCTACTCTTTTATAGAGTCCTATGTCTCCCAATTAGCTCATTCCTCAATATCAGTTATCTTCCTCTTCCTTAAATATTTTTGAACAATATCAAAATGAATAATAGTATAATACATTAATAAAAGTATAAGAAAACTATATTATTTATATACATTTTTTTATTTGTTCTTGAGTTGTGGTGGATGTAGATGCTCTATGACCATCAAAGAAATCAACATTTAAATATTAGGTTAGGGTTTTTTTGATTTAAATTTTAAGAGGCGGACGCCTCTAAAACCTGAGGCGAGGCGGGCCTCAATGTACTTAAGGTGCACTCCTCAGTAAACTTGAGGCGTGCTTAAGGCACACGCCTCATTCCCTGCTCTCATTTCATTGCGTAGGCTTTGAGGCTTAAAAGAATGAAATTGTGCTGAGGCGCGCCTCTTATTGCGCAATTTTAAACCATGATTCATACATAGCTATCAAGGGAAAGCTTCTCTACATGTTTTATTTTATGGATTCAGCTTTCATCTGGGCCCTCTTGTTATTGGTTTATTATTATTCTTCTTTTCTTATTTGAATGTA